AGCCAATAAGTGTACTAGGAATACAGAAAATTTACAAACATAAAATATATAAGTAGGTAGGTGGTAAAACCAGTGGTGGATCCAGCGGGGTGGCAAAGGGGGCATTTATACTTTTTGTACTTCCTTCCCATGCTCCCCCCCCAAAAAAAAAACTAAGCAAATGAGCATAGATCATGACATTTTTTTTAGTAGAGAGCCACATATTGTCATATTGTTGACACAAGTTACAACTAGTGCAGTACCAATAACTGCATAGATAGGTAGGTACCTATATATATATATACATCATAATATTATGGTTATATTTTAATATTTTGTGTATATACTAAAATATAGTTACCTATTACTTATTACAGTTATTAAAACTAGTATTTTGACTTAGGTGACTGTTTGTTCTTTGTATGTTTGTGACAGCATACACCGGAGGCTGTGCGGATTGCCACTCAGTATCTACCAATAGAGCATTCAATTCTATTTGAGTTATATTGTAAACAACTATTATATACTGTAATCCTCCTTCTGTCTTTTATCAACCAAAACAACAAATCAAACCAAGTCATCGTTTGGTACTTTAGCTAGGTTAAATAAAACGTTATTTACCACGATAACCTATGTTTGTCAAAGAGTACTCCTCTTCGGAGAAAATCTGCAATTGAATTGCGTCATAAAATTGCTCAAAAGCAAACATTGCCTCAGGAAAATGCAAGTATACATGAGTCTTATGAGATGACGTATACCTTCATAAAATAACCGAGAGTATACCTATTTTTAGAAAATGCAAATTGTTAAAATAAATATTAGCAAAATAAATAAGTAAACTAAAATACTTTATTAAAAGTCAATACATCTGACTAACGATCGTGACTTTAATACATTGCTTACATTCAAAGTTCTATGTATACCTTTATAAATTCAAATAAATAATAACTGCAATAGCTATAATTCTCTAGGTAATTATAATTATATAAATGTATAATTAATAATTTTATATTCATTAAGAAAATACATTCGTATCTTGCAATAACGGGTTTTTATGTATAACAGAGAAATAGCAGTGTTGTGTTAAGGGAATCCAAGGGGAGAGTAACCAGCTATGGTAGTATGGTGACTCATTTTTAGTAGCTGCACTTTTTTGAAGGGCAAATAAAACGAAAGTTTTCTAATTTACAGTATTTTTTAGGAAAACATAAGTAATCGGAAAATATGGATAATAATACGTACATATTGCATAGGTAGGTACACGCTTTTCGGTGTGGTTGTAAATTCCGCGGTGCCCGTAGGCAAACATTATTGTTTTCACAGTGGCCTTAAAAATATGTTTCATGTACAATTTATTACATCGCCCGCTGCAGCAGTATCGCGTCAGTGGGCGAATACCTTTATGTTAGAAAGAACACTTGGACCAAAGTATTTCTATTTCGATCGTATTATTTTCTAGTGTAAATTATTTACTTTTAGTTTGTATACCTACCTATAATACAGTAACAGAATATACTATACTCTTTGATACAAAATGTTCGTGTTTCTCCGTATTGGTCATATTATAACAACATAAATACCTATTGAGTTTGATAGTTACAGTTTAGTGTTTAAATTTTTTAAATATTTTATATATTATACAATATTGTCTAGTAATTATTTTAGTACACTCTCGTTTCTCGGCGTGACAATCCAAAAATAGTAGAACAGCCAACCCCGTTTAACTGAAAAACAGACAATTTCATTTTAAGCCAAAGGTTTCTTTTAATATTTTATTAGAATTTTTTTTTTTTTAATACAATCGGAAAACGAATACAATTAGGTGGTGCCGAGTTTATATATTATTATTTTGCTCATGAGTATGTGGGTGTATTGTATATATATTAAATACAAACTTGTAACAATATGGTTATTTATTTGTTTGTGGTGGATAGAAGGGTTAGGTTAGGATAGAAAGGGTGACATGCCGGCATATTTATTAACACGGCAATGAAGGAAATTCCTTAAAATGCATTAAATTATCCACTTAATTATATCAAATGATATAAATTGTTTTGATTCATTTAACCATAGTCCATAACACATTTGTTATAAATTATAATATAGCTAGGTACAACTAAAAAAGTTTAAAAGTTTAAATTTATTTGATTACAGTTTATTCTAGAATTGTTGTGATAACTAATAACAGTCGTTAATTGTTAGACTGGTTGTCGATTGAGCATATTTTATTATTTTTAGATGAACAAATTGTGTGTAAGTTAGATAATCATTTTTTCATTAGGAGAAATTCCATATTAAATTTAAAACGACGACAATCAGAAAATGTTTAATTACATAAAACTTAAACATAATTTAATATGCATAATATTATATTTTACATTATACATAGAATTATTATTTTTTTAATAATTTACTAAGAATTCTCATCAAAATTGTTGGGTTTATTTTATTTGTTAAAACATTGTCCTCATTTATATTCTTGTGATCTTGTTTGTAGTATTTGTGAATACATCTAATACATAATGTAGATATAAATATATCAAAATGTATGCAAAATTATAAAACCAGCCGATTTCAGAAAGTTTCTAGAAAAACAAAAAATATATATTTACTCAGGCAACCATAGGGTATGATCATAAAAAATAAAGAAAAGCTTCATATCCACGTAACGACAGTAGGTAGGTACCTTTTCTGTATTCACATAGCGTGTGCATCCTTCCGACAACGAGGTCTATGTTCGTCAATGGATTTCAAACGCCAAGGCAATTGCGATGGTTCACAGCAGGAGCTTTTCAAAACTTACCCCACACTTCGCTACCATTAGTACTTTTTATATAGCCGAGACGTCAAAAAAACCTTTCCCCTCCGGAAACTGTTTGCGGCTTTTGGCTGACCCTACCTTCAATATATCCGCAGCATAAAACACACACACACACACACACCTGTATATTATATGCTAATGTATAATGTATACCTACGTGAGCGCGTATGTGTGTATGGTATATTTACCTATTTATAATAAAAACTACAGTGTACGTAAAGTTTATACGATAGTCATTTGACTTCTACGACGTTAATTAAAATGAGTTGTTGATGCGCTACAGATGCGTATATATTTATGTACTTGAAAACAATATTGAGAACTATAGTATAAAGTGACATGAATTAAAAAGTAAAAACGTGAATACTAATTAGTAATTTATAGTTTACAAATGTTTTACAAATTGTGTACAGGTTTTTATAATCACATATACTATAACTACTGATAAATTAATAAGTTTTAGATTTTAAGAGTGTGTTTGACACTAATAAATAATAGTAATAAGTGATTGCAATATTGCATTGTAATTAGTAGATAAAATGCGTATTTTCTAAATACATTTTAAATTTTGTAGTTTTTAGGTTTTATTTAGTTATTTAAATACCTAATTTAAAGTATGTCTTTACTCTTTAGAAGTCGTTTTAAGAAATACAATCGAACTTACACACAAATGTCACAAATCCTTTTGTGTTAAAAAACAGTTTTATATTTTATTAAAAAAATGCCTAAAGTTAATTCAAATATTTTATGAACGGGCATTATTTTATTCATTAAAATACATAAGATTTTATATTAAACATTGGGTAGCTGATACATACATTTTGATTCGTTGTTCACACTTTATACACGATTTTTGATATTTGAAGATAGTGAATAACTTCAAAAACAGTTTAATGCACCTGAGTAATGAGTATCCACAATCAAGAGTTTCACCATACTAATAAAATATTATGCAGAATCCAATGCACGATTTACGACACAATAATTTTCATTAAGTGTTTTCTCAAGAGAACAATATACCTAAAATCTAGGATCCCGAAAAAAATCTGATTATAAAAATTACATTATTCAATTTTATTCTTCATAAAATTGCAATTTTGATACTTGTGGTTATCACTTTATAATTCAAAACATAAAAAGCTTGTGGTTGCCTATAATTCTTATTAAATTTTTCATCTTGAGTTTTTAATTTTTACAGACTATTTCTGTGACCGATTTAACATCAATATATCTTATATCGATTTATCTATATTGAATTCTTATATTATTATAAGATATAATTATAAGGTTATTTACCTGACAGCTAACATTACAAAAATATTGGTTAGCTAAAATACTATGAAAATTAAAATGCATTAATTATTAAAAAAAAATCAACCCAAGGCTTGTTAATCTTAAAATGTTACCAGGTGATTTACACGTCATTATAATATCTGTGTTTACCATTACGCAGTGACTTAACCAAGTCGATTGGGACCGTACGGACTTGACAATGTTCTAGGAGTTTTCCTCTATTTAAATTAAACTTGATTTAATTAGATCATATTTTTTGATTATATTAGTTATAATTTTAAACATAATGTATAATGTATATAACAATTAATAATTGTAAATAAGTAAAGAACGAATTTTTATAAAACCAATTATACTCGTATTTAAGTAATTTATTGTTTCCTAATATATTTATTTTGATAGATATTAGATACCTATATAAAATATGAACTTTTATCCCCGTACCTATTCTGGTAATAAATAAATAATTGTCATTATTTAGACGCACGACATTAAATAAAATGTATTGTTTATAATTTTCCGATTGAATTATTGATTTTAATATTAATAGTTTAGGTACACTTTTACTACTACCTATAAATAATAATGGAAATAATCAAAATAATTTGTTATTGAAAATAACGGAATCAACATTCCAGTTCAATTTGCTGTAATTTAGGCTAGCAGTTTCTGCATACATTGGTTGTTAATGTATAGGTCTAAAAAATAATGCTTTCCTCTTTCTAAAAACATATAGATATAATAATATAATATACATATATACGCGTATTATAAATACTAATCAATATAATCCAATAACTATCACCATATTATAATTTTAACCTTTTTTTTCAGTGTTTGAAACAGTCATAATTTTTCAAATGAATAAATACTTATAAAATAAATTTTAGGTACTATACTTAAATAATCATACTTTAGACGATGTGTGTCTAGGGTAAAATTCACTTGTAAATATTATAAGACGTTCTGAACTGTGGTACATTAAAATCGACTTACCGACGACTTTGCTCCACTGTGCTTGTGGTCTCCATTCGGGGAAATGTTTGGGGAACCGGTCACGGGTCCAGAACGTGCGTACCACCACCCGGTACCTGGCTAGCTTATCCGGCGAACACGACGGGGCGCCAAAGCACCGGCACACGGCGACCGCGACGAACATGCACGCCAATAACCGTCGGACGGATTGCATATCGCAGTGGCGGCCTCGTTGTCTCTCTGTCTTTATAATAATTTATTTGTGTGATAATATGCGTTGACGGACGGAAGGACAGGTGGACGGCGGCGTCAGCGTTCTCAACAGGCGTGCCGATCGGACCGTGGACAAAAGTTTACTAACCGACAACCATCGCGCGTCGTCGTCATCGTCGTCGCTGCCGCCGCGCCGCCGCCGCAGCCACCTCCACCGCCGTCGCCGTTGACGACAACGCCGGCATCGCGGACGGTGGAAGCGGCAGCGGCCCGCCGTGACACCGCCGCCAACGTGTTGATTTTAAAACCAACCCTCCTCATCATCGTCCGAGATCCACCACCATGCCACGCTCGCCCGCCTGTCCTCTTGTCCAGTGCTACCACTGCCGGGTAGGTAGTCGTTAGGGGTGTAGGACTCCACACCGCGCAGTCCGAGACCACTCGAACCATTCCGTCGTCGGTGGACAACGCTAAGCTCAACTGTTACATACAAGCACATTTTATTTTTATTTATTCTTCAAGAAGATAATGGGCCCCGCTGAACATGTCCGTGTGGGGGCCCCCCGAGTTCACAATATAGATCGCAACTATGTAGATGTTAGAAAGGGCTGCCCCCACCCCTCACAGAAAAATTATATCTTGGTTTATAACAAACTATAAGGATTTTTTTTAAGTACATAACGTTTTAAATATGATCAGCTATACAACTGAACTCTATTATAGTAAACTGAGCCTCGGTCAGACTAATGTTTCAAATACGATGAAAACTGTTTTTAAATATAATTTTTATTAAAAAAAAAATATTTTATATCTGCTCCTAAATCCACCCGAAATAGTATATTCTATTATAGTCTCCAACATGGAAGAATTTATAATATTCTTTTTAGTATTGTAGTATAATAAGTATGAGGCTAATTAGTTGTAAATACTGCTAATTTGTAATTATTTCAGTACAAGAGACATTTTTATTACCTGTCGGGCCGTATTTTTATACTTTAATGTGTAATAATTATAAAATTAAGAAAACCCATTATTTAATTGTATTTATTATTGTGCACTATATGCATACGTATTAATGGACTAATATTATTTTTTTGCAATTTGCTTTGGTTCAACGGCCGGTGGCTAATATTATATTAGTGAAGTTATATAATATATAATTTGTTACGGAACAAATCAATACAACACCAAAAAGGTCTATCCCAAGACCATCAAATCAAACAGTTTGACAATCAAGTGCAACACAGATGACATAGGGAACACACTTACAAAAGTGTGTTTTAAACATTTATGCCTCAGCGTTATGACGGATGAAAAGCACACCAACTAAAGAGGAACAATCAGACAACGGTGTGGTTTTATCCGTCAAACCTTCAACCTGTCAATAGCTGATACACAATCAAGCCAAGACAGCACGAGACTCCGGACCAAATTCTACGGTGATCAAGAACACACAGTAAACAAGAGCTCAACTACGACGATCTTTCAAGCATATTCTGTTACCAGCCCGACAACCTTATTCGTCAAAATCAAGAGGCCTGTAGTACTACGATTGTACTACCAACCACGAGCACCACCGAGACCACGGCCGACGTGTTCAACAACTAACAGCGAACTGACGCTAAGTTTCCTACTCAGCATTTTCACACGGCGCTACACGTATTTTTAGTACGAATTGAAAACGGTGTTTTGCCAGGAACAAGTACCGAAGGTTGCCACAACCACAACATTACCGACACCAAAATCTACACCGATCACGGTTTGGAATCAACGTGAAATCCAAATAACGTAGCCGTTGACGTTGAGAACACCAAGACAGTCAGCGGAAAGAAACCTATGCAGATTTGGAACGAAAACTGAAAACAGCCCTTTTAAGGGTCACCACGTCACTCGACGGCCTTATTTAAGTTATCCTCTCCGAACCAGGTTCGCCGTCGGGGTACCACAACTAAGCTTGTACCGACGACGACCGGTTCCCTAACCATTATTTGTACAAATTAATATAGGCCAACGGTAATGTCTGCATATTTTAAAAAGAGTCTGGTACTCACCCGACTAATCACAAGCGCCCCCGATTGTGTCGACTCACTTATTTAAGTCCGGTCGACGCAAATCAACGCTTTACTAGCAGCAAGTTTTGTAAATATATATATACAGAAGTCATAGAAATAGACATACGTGATAATAAGAAACTGAATGTTATTATTTATTCACGATACGGGTCGTCCATTCAGATGAACAGTATCAAAGTTAATTATATCTTAAGTGTCGTAAGACGCTCATTATTCAAAAAGTATTAATGTTTTTGAATATATTTATTTACATTGTTTCAAGTCGTTATAAAATAACGTTTCATTAAAAAAATTTTGTTTTTAACGACTAGAAAGCTAATTAAGGGTGGTAATAAATAATTTCTACTATGGAATAATATTCGATTATTCGTACAAACTATCAAATAATAAAATACATGACTGATTTTGAAAATTATTCGAATAATCTGTACTAGGTACCGAATAGTTTTTCAAATAATCTGTACTACCGACTAATTTTTTGAATAATCTCCAGTAACGAGTATTTTTTTTACTATCTTCTACAACTCCTTATCACTTGTTAGTTATATTAGTAATTTTATTTCTTATAAATAAATATATTATTTTACAAGAACTAAACTTAAATTTTTCGTTAACTAAACAAATATTAATGAAAACTTAACTCCAAAGCAATTTTTTGAATTTTTTTTCATAATGTATGTTTTGCAAGCATAACTTTAAAAGTCACTAAAAGTACTAAAAGCAAATCAAACTTAATTTGGAAGTTATGGCCAAAAAACTTCAAAATGCTCAATTTTCAAAAAATTGTGTTTTAGATTCTGACTGGAACGATGAATGTACTGATTTTACAATGATGTATTTTTTTAATTTTTTAATTTTTAATTTTTGTGTCTGTGTACAAGATAAGCAGTCGAAATAATGCTTCGATTTTGAACTTCAGAATCTTGTTTGGTGGGAAAGTGAATATTGTTGAAGCATTGATGAGGAGGTCAACATTTAAAATTCCCAGTAATTTTCAAAAACACCAAGAAAAACAAAAGAAAAATTAAGGAAAAACGGAAATTTTTACGCAAAATCAATTTTTCACAAAATTGAATTTGGTTTTTCGTGTAACTTTAAAAAAAATGACTGTAATAGAAACATGAAACTTTCACTGGTTGTTTATATTTGCATTTTCTATACACGATAACATTTTCAAAATATTTTGATTTATTTTGAACTGTTTAGGGACATTTTCATTTTCCATTTTTTTTTTTATTTTTTTTTTTCTATGAATCTCAATAAAACTTTATTTGTTAGGTACAAGGCTTGACAATTTAATACAAGGCTAATACTATATTGTTACAATGACATTTGAAAAATATTAAAAATCCTTAGTCACAGTTTTTATTTATAAGCATTTAAAGTTCAAATCTTGACAGAATACGGAAAAATCAAGATAATTAGCAAATTATTTTGAGTTCATAAACATTTTTCTTTTTAAATCTAAGATTTGAAAATGTAATACAAGATTCTTCAAAAATTTGTCTATCTTTATCAAAAAAAAAAATGTCTGTAAGAAAGTCAAATTAAATTTTTATTAGCGTTTAAAATACAAATTTTTACAACATTGGATATTCACTTGATTTATCGTGTAGCGATTTCCTTATTTTGTTGTAATTTAAAAACGAATGACTGTAGATACATGAAAATTTCATTTTTTTATTAGCATTTTAAGTTCAAATTTTGATAAAATGTATCACTTTTCAAATGTAATAATTTTTTTGTAGTTAAAAATTTATAAAATGTTCAACTTTTATAGCTAAGGATTGAAAATTTAAAACAAGATTCCACGTAAATAGGTTATATATAAATTACTTTATTCACCTTAATATCATCAAATATACTTAGTAATATTATAGGCTGACTGACCGTTAACGCTCAGAATCGTTTTTCTTATACAATGGTATTATATCATTGAATTCAAATTTAACACCATCCATTACAGTGACCCCCTTGTACGCTGTAACCTACTGTACAGCAGAGCGACATCCCCTTACCCTTTTTTTTTTTAGTTTAAATTGTTTAAAAATGTTGGTATTTCTATGTTTAAGGCACTCGATGCCGATGCCATTTTGTTCTCAAAAATACACTCTGCAGGAATAACGATACCGACATGTAGAATCAACCAAATTTGATAATTTTTATTTTAATTGCTAGAGGGAATACAGCCTCGATCTCTGTTTTTCAATATTTTAGTCTCAAACTTTATAATATGTCTAAAAAAATACAAGATAAAAAGCATTTTCTACAAATTTGTTAATACATTTATTTAAAATAAAATACAAAATCAGATATCGATAAGGGCTGTAGGTAGTCTTTTTCTTTCAGATAATAAAATAGTCATACAAATCAGACAATTCTACAAATCCTGATAGTTATTCCCGTAAAGTCATTTTTTTCCACCCGTTAAGTCATATTAATATATTATAATAACCAATTACATTTTTAAAAATACTCGGGAGCTTATAATATTGTATAATAGGTTTCAAGTGTACCTCGAAATAGGCTATTGAGTAGGTCACTCTGTAATGGATGTGTTAAATTTGAAATAAATGATATACCTTATATAACAACAATTCTAAGCAGAGGTGGTGTGTCAGCCTCTATTTTTAAGGATATTTTATAATTTATTATTATATAGCTATAAGTAATTTATTTTTATTTCAGTAATCCATTAAGCGTTGGTTGAACTCCTTTTTGCCAAAAATATCACACATGTTTATTATAGTATTATTATAACATATTATAATATTATTTATAACCTATAACTTAATACCTATAATAATTATTATTTATTACTGATGTACCAATGTACCATAATATACACGAAAAGTGTCAACTGTCAATATTCATATCGTGGTATAAATAGTTTTAAATGTGTATAAATATTTGGAAATAACATTATGTG